TGAGATTCAGGAATTTGATTGATATGAAGGCCCCGCCCACTTCATGATGACCACGCCCACTTTTGAGACAACAACACTCTTCTCAATGCAAAGGCAACCAGGGCCTTTACTGCTTCCTGTCCCTCTTCCTCATCATCCTCTTCCTCAGCTGACTCTCCTTGTCTGCTGTGAAATAATATCCTTGCTCAAATTTCACAAACAATTCATAAAAATCAATTTAAGGAAATTGCTAAACACTCAGGAATTGAACTATTGACTTTATTTGTATTTTTATTGCACTGATATAAAAAGTTGCATATTAATAACCAAACAGATTAACTCTCCATATGATCTGAATGTTTCTGTTTGCTCTGGAGAAACGTGAGGATTTTTCCGTTTGGTATTGATCGACATTAATTGATCCAGCAGATGAATTATTGCTGACATTTCCCAGTTGGATGATGGAGTCGCGTAGCAGAGCTGCTGGGGCGTCAGGCCGACTCGGGCTGTGAAGCTGGGCGGTGGGTAGTGATGCTGTGGGCTCTGATCTGAGTTCATTCGCTGACTGAACGTTTCCAGCATGGCCGATAGTTTTCATCCTCCCTTCCTCTGTTGACGGATCAACATCTGGTTGCCTCGGGTCGGTTGCAGCAACATTCTTGATTTATTGACACCAAGTTGGGACTCTCTGTCTTCTCCTCGCTAGATGTCCTCAGGGAGCCGAGCCTCTCAGAGGTATTCATCAGGTGGTGCATAAGAAGAACCGGCGGCTGACCCTCCGACACCACAGCGTTTGCCTCAGAGAAACTCCAGCCCCTCAGAGTCTCAGGTCGAGTCTTGAGTCTTTGAGTTTTGAACTGACCCAAGTTTTGCTCTGTCTCTCCAGGTACATAGGATCCCACCCTGATCCCGGGCTTCGGTCTCTGGTTGGGAGAGATTCCCTTCGGCGGTGTTCACCCCGCGGCTGTCCAGACCGGTCCAGCTCCACCACCCGTTCCCACGTCGGACCCGTCTCCCGGCTGGAGCCAGTTTCCTGGAGCAGATTTCTTCTTGCGTCTATCCGCTGTTGCGTGATTGAAAGTAGACGAGCACGCGGCTTTCGTCTCCACAGGGTGTTTCTGCATCAGGCAGGCAAATTTCAAAAAACATGACACCAAGCTGGTTCTGCTGGGCCAGAACTGTCCAGAACCAGGAACCCGTCGCTTGTTGTCCCAGCAGGATTTTTGCTGTTGCCCGGGTTACGGAGACGACCCGGACCGAAACCGATGAATGCCGAGAGCCGTGTTGGGATCAGAACCATCAGAAGTTCTAGCCCTGGTTTCAGCTGATCTGGACTCTGCTGCAGAACTTCCTGGAAAACATCAGCTGGAGCTCAGCATGATGCTGCCACCACCAGCACAGCTCCACAGCCTTCTGAGCCTGTCGTTAGTTTCCTGTTGTTTCCTGCGCTTGACTTTTCTCTTTTGTTTGGTTTCCTGTTCATCTTTCCATCTGCAGCTCCATCGCCGTCCTGGACTTGAGCGCCTCCAACAGGCGGAGACGACTCTGCATGAAGATGGGACGTTTCCTCCTGGTGATCTCTGTTCTGTCCTCCCCGATATTTTTATTCAGAAAGTAAAAATGTCTGTAATAACTCAGATTTGCTGTTGACTTCAATAAACTGTACATTAATTTAAGGATCTAAATCCCCTGTTTTGTGTTTTCAGGGTTTCTCTGATGCATGTTTATAATCTGTGAAGCAATCTGGGCCTTTTTCCTGCGAACTGAGCCGATCCGCTTCAACGTTCAGCAGAACCACGAGAATGTGGTGAAGACGGCACTCGTCCAAAGAGAAAACTGAAATGTTCCAGAGAATTTGATTGATTGCTGTTCATCAGCAGCAGAGGATCCCAGCTTCTCACGCCGGAGCTGCAGTCGACGGCTGAAGCTAAAATGGCTGCTTTCTTTCAGAGGCGGCCATGTTTGACTCAAGGAGGGGAAATAAGGTGACTGCTCTCAGATTAACATCATTTTCTCAAAAATTCACCTAAAGACATAAAATGTCATCAAGATAAAAATGACTGAACAGAAAAAGCATGAAATGTGGTTTAAACAGCAGATCTGGAGTTAATGATGTGATCAGGTTGATTTGTTCTGGCACAAACCTGCAGGGTGACGTTCCTAGAAATGACTCAAGCTTCTGTCATTATTTACATTTTCACACATTTATTCATGAATCCTATTCCCATTAATAGCTGCAGTTCTTTTGAACATCAAGTTTTTCTTTTCCTGCTTTTAAAGCACAAAAAACATTTTTGTTTGTATGGAAACATTGAAAGAATAATCAACTGCTGCATAAAAAAACTTTTCCAGTTTTTCACCATTAATAGATGAGAAAATAATTCTAGGTTTATGACTTGATCAATTACAGACCTTTATCTGAACTTCCCCCCTAAGAACTTGTGAAAATAGTAAATAGCAGAAAAAGATTCTAATAGAACAACTAGATCACCCAGATGGTTTCAATCAGATCCCAGTTTGTTCCTGTGAATAATTAACGTTCCTCACAGTCCAGAGTCACCAGAGGACAGAGGAGTACCACAAGGCTCACTGCTTGATATTGATATATCTATATCTATATATTCACTGTTATGCTGATGATATGCAGCTTTATCTAAACCCACTGGGTCGATCAGATTAAAACCTGGACGGTTTCAACTTTCTTCTTTTAAATTATGAAAAGACAGAAGTTGTTTTTGGATCAGAACTTCTGAAAGAGAATCTGCTGAGTCATCACTGCGTCTGGATGCCATTAAATTACCCTTGAATAAAGAAGAACCTCTGTGATATTTTTGGCCAGGTTATGTCATTTAAATCCCATAAAGAAGACTTTAGCATTTCCGTCTTTCATCTCAGAAATATTACCACAATCATAAACATCCTGTTTATGATGTTTATGATTGATGAGGAGTGAAAACTGGACCTGCATTTATTCCTTCGAGCTTTACTGCTGCAACTCTTCACCATCAGAAAATAAAAGCCTTTGTCCGAAAAGCTGCTGCTGAGTTAAAAACAGAGATCATAACGTAGCTTTGCTTCATTGGCTTCCTGTGAAATCTAGATTATAATTCCAGATTCTCAGATATAATCATCCGTCAGAGTCCAGTCGTCCACCACACAGGACCAAGCATGGCTTCAAGCTGTGGAAGAAGCTCACACTGATGGGTCCCATCAGATCTATGAGCAGCAAGCAGGAATCACAGCCGGTAAAAACCAGCAGAGACACTGTGATGCTCTGACACCGGGTTGGTTCTGATCCGGCTGAATGAAAAGGGACTGTCCACTGACAGACAGAGACGGGTTTTTGTTTTGGATTACGAACTTTTGAATTTCAGAAACGGTACATTTTCAAACCTGAACAGAATATATTTCCAGTCAGATCTCTACTGAGATCCTTCTGGATCCACCAAACTGCATCATTCTGCAAATCTAGAGAAACTCCTCTACAGCTGCATCCTCAGTCAATAACCTGGAGTCCCTTCCCTTCTGGGGTCAAGGGTCAGGAGATGGCCTTGAACCTGAGTGCTGGTGCTTTGGGATGGCCAGGACCTTCCGGACCCATCGGAGGCCCAGACTGAGGAACCAGAAGTGATCCAGGAGTAAATCCAACATTATTTTCATCTATTTCATGACTTTAACTAGAATATGTTTGCTTTCAAATATTCTGCCAGAAAATCAGTCGGCCCACTCAGGTTGAGTCATCTGGTCCAGATTTGGCAGCTCGACTGGTTTCTACCGGCAGACAGAACCAGCCCAGCATCTCCAGACCCATCCAAACCAATCTCAAAGGGTTTTCTGTTCCTGAACCAAAATGCCTGCAGTCACGACAAAGTGATGTTTCAAAGCAAAGACACGTTCTGGCCCGACTCTCTGAAATGTCTCATCATCAGAATCTGTTCATTCAACGATTCAGAGACTCCAGGTAAACCAGCGGTCTGCTGGAGAACCTGGAGAACCTGGAGAACCTGGAGAACTCCAGCAGAACTCCAGGTACTGTGTTGCTCATCTGCTCAGCACAGATGAGCAGGTAAAACTCAGTCATCTGTGTTTTTCCTGCTCTATTTATATTATTATTGCTCCCATTAAAGCTTCCTTTGTCCCAGTCGACTGGTTCACAGACCGTCCTGACTGAAGCTGCAACACATTAACCAACATCTAAAATCACACAAATTACAGGATCAATCATCCAATCATCAGCTGCCTCTGCTCTCCACCCTGCGTCCTGATAGGCTGAGCCACAAGCTGCAACAGCCAGTCCCGTCGCATCGTCGTGTTCTCCCACCTGGTCCAGTTTCAGTTCCTGATTTTTGTCTTTTTATGATGTAAAGAACTTTGAACCTTGTTGCTGAAATATTCAATACTAATAAACCCCGACTGGTTCAGGAAAACACCTGGAGAACCAAACACCTGGAGAACCAAACACCTGGAGAACCAAACACCTGGAGAACCGACCATGACCACCAACCGTCCGTCTTGCATCGTGTTGCAGTCTCCTCTCACTCTCAGGTCAGATCATTATTTATAAATATTACAGTTTGTGCTTCTTAATCTGCTGGATGAAATAACATCATTGAATCTAAAATCTTCTTTTGGATTCTTTGGACCTTTAATTTCTCTAAGTCTGGATCTCTGCTGCAGTTCTGGACATTTGCTCCATCAGATTTGGATCCTTTTCCAGTTTCTGATGTTTTTCTGCCTTCAAAGTTTCTTTTGAGGCTCATCAGACGCAGCCTGACATTTAGCGCGACGGTTTGTTGGCAGCAGAAAAATGGCTGATTTATCAGAAACAGGGACATTTTCCAGCGTTTAAAAAACATTTATCTTCTCCCACAACTTTAAGGGTCGAGTCGAAATGTCAGGAGGACAGACAGGAAGTCTGGGCGAATCTGGATCTGGATCTGGATCTGGATCTGGATCAAGATCTGGATCAAGATCTGGATCTGGATCTGGATCAAGATCTGGATCCGGATCAGGGGGACAGCATGAGGAACCAAGAGGAGCCTGCCACATGAACTCTCCTTATTCGACTAGAACCGGTTCTGAATGAACCGGGGCGGTACCAACAGTTCCTCTGATTGAACACAAATGGACCCTCAGTTTGTGGACCAGTCCAGGGCAGGGGTCCAGTCCGCGGTACCCTCCAAGTCATTCTGGTTCGTTCTGCTGCAGCATCAGGACGGATGGGTCCCAGCCCACCTCACGTTGTTCAGAAAAATCTGAGCCTGAAAGGAAACCAGTGAAACCAGTGAGGGGACTCAGTGGGCCCCATATGGGATCGGTTTGGGCCTGGATGGGTCTAAATGTGCCTGGCCTAAACACTGAAGCTCTTTAATAATCAGCTCAATAATGTGATGATCATGTTTGCTTCTTGTTAAACTCATTATGGAGCCTTTAACCTTTAACCTTTAACCTTTAATCCCTGTCCAGGGCAGGCGGTCCAGCTTTGAGAAACCTTCTGATCTGAACTGTGGGACCCGTGTGGGTCGTTGGCACCGTGCTGGTTGGACCCGATCTCCATCGGAACCAAACATGAACATTATCATGAAGTGTAAATTGTTTTCACTCAATTTGAACCTGAACAAACGGACAAAGCCAGTCTCGCTTCAGTTGAGCTCAAATTTAGATACAGAAACGATGTCATGAATTCAAAACCTTTTCCTTCAGATCTCATGGCCTCCAGCTCCCTGGTTGGGCCCACAGATCTCTGCAGGCTGACATGCATCGTCCTGCTGCATGTCGTCCTTCACAACATCCAGCAACGTGTTGGACAACCTGAACCAAACCAGAACCAAACACTCAGAGTGTTTGGTTCCGAAGCCTCGGAGTCTGGTCCATAACTCTTAGCTTGCAGGTAATCCCAGTTTTGGTCCCACCTGTGAATATCAGATGGGTTCCAGCAGCACCGATGACTGATGACTGAAAATCCATCCAGCCTGTGACCTGTGACCCCCTGAACCACCATGGACTGTTACATACCCTGCAGACAACCCCAGTATGGGTCCCACCTGTGGGCTCCATTTGGATGAACCAGTCCTCACGGCCTGCAGCACCTGAAGCGCAGCATGAGTTTGTGGAAGGCCTGCTGGAAGTCCTCATTGGACATGGTGTAGATGATGGGGTTGATGAGGGAGTTGAGGTACCCCAGCCAGGTGAAGATGTCGAACAGCCCGGGGTGGAAGCAGGACTGGCAGAGAGGCACCAGCAGGGTGTAGATGAAGAACGGCAGCCAGCAGACGATGTAGGCTCCCAGGATGATGCCCAGGGTCTTGGTGGCCTTCCGCTCCCTGGCCGCAGAGATGCGCTTCTTCTCCAGCAGCGCGTCCGACACGGTGACTTTGACGTGGCTCACGCTGGGGGAGGACGAGGTTGTGTCGCAGGAGGAGCCGTCGTTCGTCCCGTAGTTCAGGGAGGTGCTGGACGCCACGGAGCCGGGGGAGCTGCTGATCAGGTGCGCAGAGGTCAGCCTCTTGCCCTGCTTGTTCTGCGCCTGCTTCAGGATGCGCTTCCGCGCCTCCACGTAGATCCGGCCGTACAGGCACATGAGCAGCAGCGTGGGGATGTAGAAGGCGCCGAAGGTGGAGTAGATGGTGTAGAAAATGTGGTCCGTGTTCACGTTGCAGCTCGTCACCTCCTCCGCCTTCACCTGGCGCCAGAAGAACGGCGGTAGGGAGATGGAGATGGCGATGACCCAGGCGGTCGCGATCATGCCGGCGGCGCGTCCCGCCGTGCGCTTCTTGGAGTACTCCACCGCGTCCGTGATGGCCCAGTACCGGTCCAGCGCAATGACGCACAGGTGGAGGATGGAGGCGGTGCAGCAGGTGATGTCGGAGGACAGCCAGATGTCGCACATCACCTGGCCCAGCGACCAGGTCTGCAGCACCGTGTACAGCGCGCTGATGGGCATCACCAGGATGGACACCAGCAGGTCCGTGAGCGCCAGGGACGCGATGAGGAAGTTGGCCGGGGTGTGCAGCTTCCGGGACTGGTAGATGGTGGCGATGACGAAGGCGTTGGAGAGCGTGGTGGCGCAGGTGACGAGCCCCAGAGTCACGGCCAGAGCCGCCTGGGGAGCCAGGCTGGAGCCCCGCCGCGCCGCCCCGGAGCCGCTGGTGTCGGAGTCATTGGTGGAGAAGTTGAGCAGACCTCCGTAGCTGGCGGGCGGCTCCATCCCTCCACCTTCCTCCGTCACATGCTCCGCTCATCGACTGGCCGCTTGGGAAGCTCTCAAACCCGCATCCAGAGGAGAAGACGCCGCATGTCCCGCAGTCTCAGTCAGACCCGCTCCTGCCTCCTCATCCTCATCCTCATCCTCATCCTCATCTTCATCCGCAGCGGCATCCGGCGACCAGCTGCCTGAGACTCGGAACCGGCGTGGAGACCCAGAGAAGCTCCGCCGCTCCGAGCGCAGACTCCGGCTTTTATAGCGCAGCTTCCTCTCTCTCCTCTTCCTCAGCAGCGACGGACGCCGCGCCGCGCCGCCGCGCCGCGCCGCGCCGCGCCGCGCCGCCGCTTCTTTTCATTTCGCTCCTTCAGCTGGAAACAAACGAGCTGGCGGCGCAGAGTCAGTCAGACTCATGAAAATATCAAGTTAGCTCTGAAAGATTCGGGTTCGTGATGCAATGGACAGAAGACAAAAAGTCATGGAGCTCAACAACAGTCTGAAAAGTGTGGAGTGCATGTTTATTCAGAACTCTGAGGTCCTTCTCAGTCAGGTTGATGGAGATGGTCAGCTTTTGACCAGTTGAATTCAGATCTGGACTTTGACTAGGCCACTTTAACCCATGAACCTGCTCTGATCTAAACCATCCCACAGGAAGCTGAACTTTGACTCCAGTCTCAGGTTAACTGCAGGTTTGTCCTGATTTGGCTCCCTTCATCTTCCCATATCATGATGCTGCCGCCAACATGTTTCTCTGCAGGTTGATCTGCAGTTTTTCTCCCGGTCCGTTACGGGCCGGTTCTGATCCACTCCAGACAAGGCTGGGGAAGGAAAGCAGGCTGAGAGAGAGAAGAGGGAATAAAAATGTGAAGCTTTTTGCTGCAATAAATCAAAATGAGGCAGAAAAACGAGAAGCAGAACAAATGATGAAATACAAAGCAACCCGGCAGTTTGTCTCAATTCATGTTTGCAACTTCAGTGAAATATTGAAGCATGAAGAAAAACAAGACAGCAAATAAATACGCAGCGTTGATGTAAGACAACAGCGTTTAAATCCACAACACCTGCGAGTCATTTCCACACATCCGGGTCAATTAGCTGCCTGAGAAACAGAGCTGCAGCTCAGAGGAACCTCGTTAAGACGGGGGGAGACTTCGTTAATCAAGCCATCCTTCCATCCACTGAAGCTCCTCAGCCTCTTCCAGTCTATTAGATGGCTCTGACTGACTGTAATTTTGAAGATTACTCTGTATTTAGCTGCAGTTTTAGGTAATTGCTGCACTTAGGAAACAAACAGATCCGCCAACATGACACCACATTTGCATAGAAGCAGATCCTGAGAGTTTCTGCTGATAATGAGGCCGAGATTGTAATGATGGCAGAAACAGTCGGCCATGTTTCAACAGCTTCGCTCTCCAAACTGGAGGACACTTGAAAATGTCACTCAGCAAAGTTAGAAAAGGTTAAACCAGGGCTGGATGTAAACTCTGGTAATTTGCAGCAAATTAGAAGAACATTAGCCCAGAAAAAGAATCTTAACCTCATTTTCAGTGTCATCACTGAACTTCAGGTTGAAACTGGTTTCAGTTTGAACACAGTGAGATCCAGGCTTGGAGCCACTTTAGTTTCTGCCACATGAATAAATATATACAGATTCACATGAAAACTGGATTTCACAACCAAACTTCTTTACATCAGGAAAACATCACCAGTTATGAAACGAGCTTTTAACATTACATTTTGTTGAAGGTCAACATCAATTTGATCAAGCAAATACACAGAAAAAATGTTGATCAATTTTCCACTGACCGTTAAGGCAACTTTAACCCTAACCCTAACTTTTAGCCTTTTCTACACAAACCTGTAAAAATTGTTGCAGTAATCAGTAATCGATCAAGGTCATGTTGTCATTTCTGATTTATTGCAGGCAAACTTAATATCTAAATAATATATATATATATATATATATATATATATATATATATATATATATATATATATATATATATATTTAGGCTATATATACATAACCTATATGTATAATATTTTATATATATATTATGTATATTATTTAAAATAATGTTTATTTGATTAAACAAAATGTATTTTTTACAGATTTATTCATATTTAATTAGTGGGTTATTGTTTTTGTAGAATATATTTTAGAAGCTTAATGAATAAAATGATTCAACAGAGCTGGTAACCTTTGACCCCTGAGTGAATTTCCTGCGGGACGGATTTCAGCGGGACACCAGCTGGAGGCTGCGCTCTGTTAGCTTCCTGGTTCCGTTAAATCTGGCGATGGGGACCGAACCGAACCGGTTAAACGGTACTGATTGGTGTTGGTGCTGATGAATGACGAGTTAAACAGATTTATTTATTTATTTGACTTTCTACTACGTTAATTTAGCTAACAGCGGGAGTTTCTTCTTCTGTGGTTAATTAGCTAACAGCTAATATGTCAAGTTGCAACTGAGTCTAAAACAAAACTGAGTTAGTTTTTGTCTGTGGGTAAAATCTAGAGCTCTGTGTGGCAACAAAGACCGTTTAGTTTCTTTGTTAGTCATTAAAAACAGCCGTTTAGTTTCTATTACCGAGTCATTTGCAGACGCCATGTTGGGAGTGGCACAGCTGCTTATTTATCATCCGACACAGAAAGAAATTATTGTTTCTGGAGGCTTCTGGGCCAGAGGGTGATGAGCACCCTGGTCCTAGTCCTGGTTCTGGTCCTGGTTCTGGTTCTGGTTCAGGTTCTGGTTCTGGTCCTGGTTCTGGTCTGGTCCAGTGCCGACTCATCCCTTGATTTTCTCTGACTTTTCATGTCAGAGTGACCCTTAGTTTGCCTGTCACGCGAAGGGACACTTCCTGTCACGCGAAGGGACACTTCCTGTGACGGGAAGGGACACTTCCTGTGACGGGAAGGGACACTTCCTGTGACGGGAAGGGACACTTCCTGTGACGGGAAGGGGCACTTCCTGTGACGGGAAGGGGCACTTCCTGTGACGGGAAGGGGCACTTCCTGTGACGGGAAGGGGCACTTCCTGTGACGGGAAGGGGCACTTCCTGTGACGGGACGGGACACTTCCTGTGACGGGAAGGGGCACTTCCTGTGTCTCAATCAAACTGCCTGTCCCGTCTGCCGTAGGGTCTGGTCGAGACCCGTGGCGTCTCACGAAGGCCCGGGTGGCCGTGGCGATGGCCGTCATCAGAAGCAGACCCCCTGGGGTGAGCGTCCGACAGCACGGCGAGGCTTTGGGTCGCACGCTGAGGCGGCAGGACGGCGCGTGGCGGGAACGGGTCCAGGCGCTGCAGCAGGAAGTGCTGAGGCTGCGGACGGAGCTGCTGGTCTCCAGGGCGACGGCGGGTAGGTGTTTGTTCTGGGTCGAATGATCAGCGACGGGTTCTGGAACTGATCCGCTTCATTTGTCTCGTGACCAGCAGAGCTAGCAGACTGATCAGCTTCAGCTGCTGCTCTGAAACACCAGAGGTCAGAGGTCAGTGAGGCTAAACAGAAAGTCAGGCTTTCATTTCATGTTAACTGGAGCAAAGATGGAATGGATTCCCTGAAGCTGATTAATGCGGGCGCCATGCTGGACACCGATGCTTTCTGTCCTGTTAACCTTTGACCCCTGCGTCTCAGCTTCATGCAGAAGCTGATGCTGCACGTTTCCCTTCCTGACGCCTGCAGGGACACATTTAGGGACTCTGGGCTATAAAAGTAGAACTACAGTTTCTTCTTCTCCTGTCAGAATAACGAGCAACAAATGCAGCTTTGATTTAAAGGACAGACGAGTTTTAGAGACTCTTTGGACCAGAGCCTCCTGAAAATGAGAGGAATATTTCATGTCCTGTGTGGACGTGCCTTGGAGAAGCAATCTGAATTCAAATGTGTATTTGTATAAAAATGGCCACATTACTCTGTCTGCTCCTGATGGCGGCTCTCCGGCCTCCTTCATATTCCCCATGCAGCGCCATAGCAACCAGCTTTTCCTGCCACTGAAAATCACAAAGAGGAAAATGTGAAAATGTAATTTAGTCCAATTTTCCCCTCGGTGTGGGAAGTGTTTCTCTGGCGGGTTTGATGTTTGTGATTTTGTACGTAAAGAGTCATTTCAATTTGTGTTCTGTTACAAAGCCGTAACAGAACCAGAACCAGAACCTGTCAGAACCATCCAAGGCGATTCGGAGCATCAGAGATCTTAGATGAACTGTCTTCATGCATTTTGTGGAATAATTACAGGATTATTGCACAAACTCACCTGGAAAAACCTGGAATCACCTGGGAAGAAAAGAGGAGGCAGGAAAACCCAAAAACGGAGGAGAGGTCAAAGGTCAAAGAGCTGCTGTGCAATGGGTTGGGTTTCTTTCTCTTTGCTGAGTTTTTTGATGGTCTGATTGATTCGTTTCATGGATTATTGATCCTTGATGGTCATGAAGACTGAAGGTGCCCTTTGACCTGAAGGCGACACCTTGAGGTCAAAGGGCAATCAGGACCAGGGTGGTCCTTCGGTTGCTGATACTGATGCCTTTTGGTTCCAGGATGCTGTTAATAAATCTGCAGCGTCATGATGTTGGGTTATGGACAGAACTCTGCAGGTTCTAGTTCTGGTTCTGGTTCTGGTTCTGGTTCTGGTTCTGGTGGTTACAGGAACTAATATCTATTGATCCACAAGTTTTCTTTCCTTTTCTGTCTTTCAGACGAAGCATCATGGAGGATCTGTCTCAGGATCTATTTGGTCCAGGAAGCCCAGGTCTCAGTGCCGACCCTCCCCCAGACTCAGAGACTCCTGACCTCCTGCTGCAGGGGCCTCCTGCTCCTCCTGCTCCTCCTGCTCCTCCTGCTCCTCCTGCTCCTCCTGCTCCTCCTGCCTCCAGAGTCCAGAGCGATCCCTGGAGCGACGCGCTGCTTCCTCACATGCGTTTCCTGCAGTCTCTGTGTTCCCTGCAGCGCCTCGACGGCAGCAGCGCGGCTCTGGCCCCAGAGGGCCACGGCGGCTCGGCGGCATCAGAAACCGTCTTCCTGCTCCTGGACGGCGTGGTGGCGGCCTGCAGGGCGCCCCCGTCGCCGGGGCTCCCCGACTTCCTGCCCCAGGCCTGCCGGGCGGCGTCCCGGGCCTCGGACCTCCTGTGCTCCGGGCGGCCGTCCGCGGACCTGCGGAGACGCGTGGAGGAGGCGCTGAGGGAGCTGACCCAGACGCTGCTGCGCAGCCAGCGGCCCGGCAGGGTGAGTCCAGATGGTAAAGTCCCGGTCAAAGGTCAATGGGAGCTGAATCTCTTCTGCAGCTTTTTCCAGCAGAGGGAATCTGGTAGTCCTCCAGAACCTCGGACCGGTTAGCAGCAGGAGCAACGTCTGACTGAAGGAACGGTTCCGGATTAGTGGACTGGATCGGCCGGTTCCCATGATCTGGGATCGGACGGCCGGTCTTTAGCTAGCAGCACGTGGAACCGCTCACCGAATCGCCTCCAGCTTGTAGAAATGTTTCATGATATTCAAATGAATCTCCACGCTTCGTCGTCGTTTTTCTCTTCGGAGACGAACCGAGGATCCAGGAGAATCTAGGGGGATCCAGGAGGATCCAGGAGAATCCAGGGAGATCCACGAGAATCCAGGGGGATCCAGGAGAATCCAGGAGGATCCAGGGGGATCCGTTCCTTCGGTCTCATCATGGCGAGGGAGCAGAAAAGATGGCCGAAAGGTTTCCTTCATCATCTCCCAGCTTCAGCTCTCCAATCAGACGCTGGAGATGAGGAGGTCACCTCTGCCTCCTCTTTAATGCCGAATCGTCTTCTGTCCAGATTGAACCGGGACAGAACCAGTCCTCCCAGTCCGGCTGTGGGGATAAAGGAGGGGAAGCTGCTGGTCTGTCGCCTGACCCGGATCTTCCTGGTCCAGACTGACTAGCAGTTCAGCTTCTATCTGGATCTGTGGCCCGGTTTACCATTCCTCCACCTGCGTGCTTCACAGCTGCTCTGAGTCTGAGCTGGAGGGCATTTCTCTGACCTCTGACCTTGGGACGTCTGAGATCTTTTCATCTCTGGAGATTGATGGACTCCAGGTGGCTTGCAGATGAACTTTGACCCTCCCAGGTTGACGGGTAGCAGCAGTTGCTGCTCTGAGATCCTTGCTGACGTCTTTCTGCTTTTCCTCATATGTCCTGTGGAATTGCAGAGGAAGTTTTTCTCCCTGGTTCCATATTTCCTGGTAGTTTTGGAAAATAATCAAAGCTGATTTTTGTTGTTTCAAATCCTGAGTGAACCCTGATGAGCTCCGTTCGTGAAGCTGCTGTTTGCTTGCTTGCAGGCTGCAGAGGAGCTGAAGGAGTCCCTGGTTGCTTTGGGGAGCTGCAGCGTATCAAAGTCCTTCCTGGTGTGTCTCATCCTGTCGGAGATCGGCTCTCTGGCTGAGCAGCTCTGGCAGACATCCCAGGTAAACGCGCTGCAGCGTTCTGCCTTTTGTCTCTCGTTCCCTTTGTGCTCGCCTGATAAGCTGTGGCTTTGTGTCCCTCTCTCCGTGGCGTTCCACAAGCTTTCCTACGCCACATAAATAAAAGCAGCTTGTCTGTGGAAATGATTTGACTTTATTATTTTGGCCTCCTGGTTTATTTCAGCGTTTCCTCCCTGCAGACTGTTTCTCTCTACAACCTGTTGGCTCTCAGACTCTTCCTTTGTTCTGGGCTTTCAGGCAGAGACGTTTTAGCCTTTACTCTCGTTGCCTCGGCCTCTCTTGATCAATACGGCTTCCCACCACTTCCCTTCCTCTGAGTATTCAAACGTCCGTCCTCGAGTCGCTGGGCCGGCCGGCTTTTAGTAAGCCATGGAGCCAAGAGTCACGCCAAGCAGGGGTCCTTTGAAATGAACACATGTAGAACTCTAAAGGGGTCCAGATGATATTTACCTGCCTCCGTGTTCACCCTCTGCCCTGACGGAGCCACAGGTTGGCTTTTAGCCTCTACAACCGTTTGGTTTTCAGGCTTTTATTCTCTACAGACCAGCAGAAATCAGTGTTTAGGAGAAATGGGAAGAACTGGGCAGCTCCGTTTATAAACTTCACCTCCAGGTCTATTCAATTCATTGTAGTTGATTGTAGTTATGGATCAATGCACAAGCTTCAGTTTATTATTAGTTATGAAAAGGTTTTCTGTCTCAGGGACCCAGCAGATTGCATGGAGTTGTTGATGAGGCCCTCCTCTTCCTCTCCTCGTCTGCTGATCGATTTCTGTGTAGCAAGAGTTTCTCCCTTGTCAGGATGTTTGGCAGGCATTACAAAATAAAAGCATACTTACAAAGCAGAGTAAGCCTCAATAAAGTTAAAAATGATTCATTTTGAATTTCAGTTCTTCCAAATTTGGAATAGGAGACGGTTTTGTAAAGATCCAGCTCCCTTAGCGAAGGACGTTACTCTGATGCAGCGCGACGGCCTGAGACCTCCAGAGTGTTTGAGCCTGGCGGGCTGCCAGACTTTACGCACTAGGCTTATTAGCACTGTGTGTCTTTTGTTTATATAAAGAAAAATTGATAAAAGAAAAACTTTTTTTTTTAATTAGCCAGTGAGCATTTCACTGACAGAGCAGAATTATTCCTGATTATAATTGTTGCTGCACTGAACAGGAAGCGCGCACCAATCGGATCGCCACGTTTTTGTCGTGGCTCGATCTCTGTAGTTCACCTTGGTGCAGGTCGCTCATATAAGCTCACCTATTTGAACATTTATATATAGGCTCTGTGTTTCTTTATGGAATTTATCGATGTAAAGTTGAACTCACTGCATTTGCTGAATGTCAACCTCAAATGTTCACATGGAGCTGCCGTCGGTGTTCACAGGAACACATTTAGAGGTGCGCGTTGGACATGCAGTGAGAATATTTCTTTGTGAACAAAGCGTTATGTGTGTTCACGTTTCAAAAAGCTGACTTTGTCTGCATTGATAAAGTTAGAGTTTAGCCAGTGCGTTATGGACCGAGGGTTCAGCCTGTAGAGGAGCTTTCTGACTAGCACAGTATGTTAGTTTCTTTTTATAATATTTTTTATAATGCTTTGTCTACTGAAAGTCAAAGTTGCTACGCAGCTGCATGGCGATCAGAGAGATTTGTCCAATGAAGCTCTGGCAATTCTGTGAGCTTATTAAAAACTACGAAGGAGCTACTAAAGCTGCATAAATGATAAAAGTTTGTCATGTCAATGTCGTGTCTCCGTTCTGTTGTGAGTATTCCCAGTTGCAATCAGTGTCTGAGTTTCCTTGTCTCATTGCTCACCTGTGTAGCCTAGATTTCTGTACTCACCTATAAATGTCATTAAAACTACCATTTTCACACCACAATGAGGGTCCTCCTCATCCATCCTCACCACCAGCTACGGCATATTGTGCCAGAATGACCCAACCAAGAAAAGTAACGGTGAGGCTTTGCGGTAAGAGATTCAATCAGCACAATGGATCCAGGACATATACTTTTTGAGAGGGACTTTGAAGAATTACGATCCACAGACAAGAAATACATAGACGTGACTGCCAAACCCGACTCCGTCTGCAGACGTCTCGGCATGGCGACCAGATGTGTCCTGGTTCCCCCATCTCCCTTCCCTAGGCTTGGTGGAGGAGGCGGAGTGAGAACGCCAGGCCGCCCTGGCAATCATGGATGGAAAACCACTCCCACCTCGGCCAGGTATCACAGCTCCAGTCCCATTTATGGCTCCTGCACCTACTGCAGCTCTTGCCCCAGGAAGTGGGCCATGTGACCAATTACCCGACGTCCCCACAGTGAGCCGAGGATGGCAGAACCGGCGGCTAACTCACCTGTTCCATTGCCTCCTGTGCTGCTGCCGCCCACCGGACCAGCCACGATGGGTCCGCCTCCTTCGTCACCACCCACTGGACTGTTCTGATTTGTTTGGACTGTCGTCTTATTTTCTTTTCGGGTTTTCCACGTTCGGTACGTTTGGTGTTTGGTACGATGCTCAGAGTGACGTTGGGTTCAAAGCTTGGTGGGAGTCTTGGGGAGAAGCTTGGTCAGATGCTCTGTATGAGAGATTGCTGTGAGGTCAACACATTTCAGGCCGTTTTCCAGGGTTGCCCCCTGCTGATCAGGAGTGAATGCTGATGCTCTGCTGTGTTTCCTTTGATGGAAACCTTATGACCAGTAAAGTAATTATAAACTGAACCTGATGCACTGATGGATTGACTGGAATGAAGTGACTTTATTGCCTCAAGTTGACATGTCAATTGTTGCTTTATAAATAAACTGAATTGTGTTGGATTTGAGGCGTCGGTCTTGAGGTCATCGGCAGGTGGCCGAGGTCAATGTTCTCGTCCGCAGCTTCAGAGGTGCTGCAGTCGTCAGCGTCCTGATGAGCTGCACCATCTGCTGGAGTCTGACAAGGACCGCAGTGACCCAGTCCTGCTGCTCTGGTTCTGCTGTGTCAGCGCCAGCCGGGTCCAAGCTGGAGGCTCAGTCTCAGTTCAGACTCTCCTGAAAACTTTCATTAGAAGTGGAAGTAGTTTTCTCCTACCTTCATGAGAAATGTTTCAAATAGAGGTTTTTAAAAGAATGAAAGTGTCAGAGAGGGCAAACAAGTTTTTATTGAAATGTAATATAAATAGAGATCCTAGAAAAATCTTTTTTGGGCAATAATATGTTTGTATGACAGACTTTATCAAATGCAGCGCAGCCACAGTGTCACCGAACTGCGCAGGTCATTGTGTTCCTGAAATGATGGGACATGATTAATATACAGTAATATTGCAGCTTCAATCCCACATATTGCTACCAACATCTATTTAGCAAGGTTTAATAAAAAAAGAGTGTAATTAAACGAAATATTTGATCATGAAGGGACACACAGTCCCACGAAGCAAGGTATTTTGTCCTGATTTATCCGCCAGACAATGACTTGTTTACAGTATTAATGAGATTTAATGCTCATTAATATTAAATTAAATTGAGACGGCAAACTAAAGCCATTTCTAAATATGTATACAAGCTGCCTATAAAGCATGAAGTAATACAGCAGCTCAATGAAAGCCAGGTATAAAATAAATTCATGAAAGCTTACCGCAGTCTTTGAAATAAAACAGGAAACAAAACTTTAACCCAGATGATAAGAAATCTGCTGAGTAAGCAGTATGTGAGGTAGCATCACTGTGGTACCACAAGGTAGGACGGATTGATGAGTAGCACAGGTGCCTGTTCTACCTCTTGGAACAGATTAGGAGTGTCTGCTAGAGATGTGTTTGAATGTGGGCGGTGGGGTTGGCATGTGATGCAATCACCGACTCTTTCTTCACTTCATTATTGTCATTTTTTGTTCCCTGGCGAAGGAGTTAAAGCGCGGGATCAATGCATGAAGAAGGAGCTCCATCTCAGAATCTGCAGGCCTCAGTCACCAGGTTAAAGGTCTTGACCTTGAACTAGTATGGCTGCTTGCAGGCTCTGACTCAACCTGGATGATCAGAGACCATCTGACCTCTGAGCACCAAATGACCCAGAACCAAACGGTCCAGGTTGAAGAGAGGATGGTACCGAGGTTCTGTTGGTTGAACGTGGAGGAGCAGCAGGAAGGAGGGCTGCATCCTGCATGCTTGGACGGCTGCCTATGGACAACATGTTGCTGTAGAACCCGGTGTGTGGATGTTCAGACCCAGCAGACAGTTTGACTGGAGCTGGTGTTGGACTCTCATTAGAGCGTCCTGATGGGTTTCATGGCCGGTCAGCGGCTGTGATGATTGGCCTTAATGATATTAAGTTTGCCTTGGGGATATTGAATTTTTCCAGACACGCATGGTTCAGAGTTGGCTGCAGAGCTGATGAAATGAGCGTCACATCTGCTGTCTCTAAAGGGCACTGCCAGTTCAATTTACACTGAGGCTGAGCAGCCAGGACTCCTGCTCTCCTCCCTGCATTAAATATCAGGAGAGGCAGATTAAATTACCACAAAAACTCCATCTGTTCTGGCTCAGATCAAATTAAATACTTCTTCAAATCAAGGACTTATTGGTGTTTGTTTGTGTCGATGAGTCAGACCTTCAGCTGATGCAGATTCATAAAACTGGCTCCTTTATCTCTGAAAGCTCATTTGTTCCAGGTGGGACTCTTCCTGGCGAGCTGCTGTGATGTTTCAATGTCAGCAGCATGATGGTCACCGCCAAGTACCTGCACTCTTTAGACCAGGTAGCGCTGCTTCACTTTATGCAGCTCAGGTCAGAATCACATCTCAGGCTAATTGGCTTTTAGTGACACTGGAGAACCTGACATGCAATGAAACGTCTAACATGTTCGGCTGCGACGGACGCCTGCCAGCGAAGGACACAAATAGGCTGCAGAGGCAAAAGGATCGGCACACAGCAATGGATGCTGGGAGATTTATAGAAACACAGACAAAACTAAAGGCCCAACAAATTGTGGGCATCAGATATTTATTCAGACGTTCAGTTGTTTTTAGCCACCATCCGATGCCAAAGGCTAATTTCCACATTTGTGGACAGTAAAGATGATTATTGATAATAAACTGACTTATTTCTGCACATTGTAATTAAAACCAGGCAAATAAAATTAGAATAAAGGCTCAAATTGAATGGTTATGTTCAGAGGGCAGGTTTTCGTGTCTTTTGCGATCCACATGATGGTCGATGTGTGACCCACATCGGCTCTCTGCAGTGACGAACGCGTTCGCTGTAACATCGTCAATAGACGGAAAAGGGCAGAAAAGCCATGTTACAGCACCACCTAGTGACCCAGCGGACGTACTACAGCGTCTTCTGTGGCGCTGCTTCCTGATGCATATTTTAGTAATCCCTGAAAACGTATGTTGTTTGTCTCAGTGTGAACCGGGTTCTGCAGTCCAGCCGGTAGAAGCGGGTCCAGTCTGTAGAGCTGCGACTTTACCAATCATACAGTCTAATCTGGTAATGGAGTTTTGATCCTGGTTAAATAAAGAACCAGAACCAGAGGTTCAGGTCCTTCTGACTGAATGGGGTTTCAGTCCGCCCTCAGCTCGATTTGGACATTTCCTTTGTCCGTTTCGTCCTTCGATGGTCTGTTGCAGAGGTTCTCTTCCTACTTTTCTCCCCAAAGTCTTTACGTCTTCGAGCTGTGTGGCATTTTCTAGCCCTAACCCTCTGCTGAGGGTCAGCATCATTTTAACATAACAATCATCTTGCCATTATTTCTGGAACAATTTCACAAAGCTTCATGAAAATAAACTTCTCAAATAAACCAAAGATGTTTAGTCTGTCGACCTCTTTAAAATACATGCTTCCATGGCAACACTGAATAAACCTATTTGAAATAGTTATTAATCCTTCAGCCTAATCGGGTTTTCCAGGATGTTTTTTCTCTGGAGGCTCTGATGGCTCCTCCAGCCAGCTTCCTGTCCGCCTCATGAGACCATTTAGCTGAAGCTGATGTCAGGAAGCGAGACGATCCGCTGCTTTCTCTGGGACTAACTAAAGTCCAGATGTCAACATCTGAGTGCAGGAAGTGCAGCTGTGGACCGGACTGGCTCTGTGTCTCCAGACCAGCTGACGGAGTGGTGGTGTCCTCAGCAGCTGAGCAATTAGGCGTCTCACAGTGAGGAGAACTATTGGAAAACTGAACCTTTCCATCATTGCTTTGGTCATTGATGTTCTCAGCTGTCTGATGGTCCAACTACCTTTCAGCTTTGAGCTGTAATTCTTGGGTTTCTCTGAGCTTTTCATGATCAGGGTCAGGCAGTTTGGAGATGATTTCATTGTTTCCTGCATGGAGCATTTCAGATTTCTCTGGTCGTCCCTCTACTGACATCATAACCTGATATCATGACATCATAACCCGTGATTTGCTGTTTTTCCTGCGATGGACTGGCAGAAGGACAGCATCTCCTGGATTGTTTTCCATCTCTCTGAGGATGAAGAGGAGCAGCTGGAGGAACAATGAAGATCGGGTCAGAGCCCAGCAGATGGTGCTGGTACCCAGGAACCCAGGTACCCAGGAACCCTGGTGGCCTGGTGGCCTGGCCTCTGTTAGCTGCAGCTACTAGTTGTCCATCCTCACAGGGTGATGCAGAGTGGAGCTTTGGAGTCCTCTGGACTAGATAAGGTGCTGCAGAAGAACAGAACATTTATCATGCGACACCAGAACCCGTCCGACCCATTTCTCTGACCCTTCCCTCCATGTCTGCGCCCCGGTTTCTACAACGTCTCCTCTGTCAGTACCAGCCCAGAGGTCTTCCTTCCAACTAACTTATTGTTGCCATGCGTGGTTCTCATTGGTCTGAACCGAACCAGCAGGAAGTGACATCAGGAGCTTTCATATCAATTTGATGCTTTTAACTGTAAATTCTCTGATTTTCATCTTTCTGCAGGTGCAGGAGAGCTCGGCGCTCCGGACCTTTCCCCTGGACCGGTACCAGAACTCCTGCCTGCTGTGGGTTCTGGAGAGGCTCCTCCCGGGTCCGGACCCGGCCCTGCGGATGCCGGAGCTGGAGGCGGCACAGAGGGCCTTCCTGCATCGCTTGGAGCTCCACGTCTTCTTGCTGTGGGACGAGTTTTCCTCTGTTCTCCGTCTTGATGTGGCGCGTCGGGAAGCTGCTGTTTTAGAAAACGGATTAAATTGACGAATCCGCTTCCAGTTTCCGTTCATCCTGTGATCAAAGGTGGAGACGGTTGGATAGAAAACCCTGAATCTAAGAGGAAGCTGCTGATGGTGTCCCGGGGATCGGCTTTCCTCCGCAGCGTCTGCAGCTTCTTGCTGACGTTGCTAAGCGACCGCATTGTCTGAGCTGGGATGCAGGTGGTTGGCATGGCAACCAGAACCACAACAGAGCGAGGAAACGGAGGATGAGGTTCTGTGATCTGGACCAACCGCCATTCTGGTCTGATGTTGGGTCTTTGCCAAATGTTCTCTGTTCTGGTCGCGTTACCAGAACCAGAACCGCACTGGAATCAAACCCACAACCTCCTCCTGGGAGGTTTAATAATCTGTGCTGTCAGACATGCTGGAGATTCTTTTGTTCAGGTTTTATAGTTTCCTTTATTTGATAGTGAAATAACGAGGAGACCTGGGGCAAGGTCAGCAGGCCGGGAATCCAACCTACCAAGGCCGTGTTGGGATCCAAAGCCTCCATGTGGGCTGTGGCTAACCGCTGCTCCACCACAGCAGCCCAAACTGGAGATCCCTGAGAGATCCGGTCCGGTCCGATCTCGGAACCCTTTCCTGCAGTTTCATTCAGCTGCTCAACTGCAACTGATGCTAACAGCTGCAGTCTCACCTCACTGGTCCCATCAGCACCAACTGGTTCCATCGGCCCAGGCCTGCTGGTTGTCATGGTCACGGAGCGATTAGCATCGCCGCGTTGCGGCTGCATCTCCTGATCTTTCATATCCTGTGGAACTGGGCCGGGCCGGCGAACAGAACCCGGCCCTCCTACGTGAGCTGCTCTCTGATGGGTCTCATCTGGACCGACTGCTGATGTGGTCAAACCGTCCATGCTAAACATCAGTAGTTAGCATAGCTAGCAAAGCTTTTCGTCCCACCAGAAAACGATTCCTGGTTTTGTTTTGTTACAGTAAAATAGTTTTATATTGAGCCCTTCTGGTCAGAACTGTACAGAACCACCGTGTCTGTTTATGGGCCATCAGTGTCTGTTGAGCTGTAAGGCAGCCATCTGTTGAATGAATTCACTTCACCGAACGATGTTACGTTTTAACAAATGCAGAGAAAACCTCAACAGTGTCAGAGAGGAAGAGGAGCAGCTGCAGCGCCTCCTGCAGAGCAGCTACTATTATTTATGGAGGATAGAAAGTTTTTAACCCAGAGATTTTGTATTTGTTTTCTTGGTTGAATGAAAAATAATTGCAGTCTTAAATCTCTTGGGCATGAATAATTCTGGGTCTGTACATTTAAACCTTCAACTGTTCAGAGCAGATTTGATCTTAAAAAGTTTCACTTTAGGACTAGAACTGGAATAAAAAAAACAATTTTAATGAAAAAGAAAAATGTAACTTCATAAAATAGTCTGGGAAAAATATGTTTCAACATTAAAATGTCCAGCAATCTTTTTATAGGGGAGAAACTGAATCCAAACGACTGACAGGAGGTTCAGTGTTTTGAGTCCTAAATGAATGATTTGCAGAGATGAAATGACCTTGTTCTGACCCTGACTGATGTGGAAACTAATCGCAGCGAGACGCTCGCTCTGCGGCTTCATGAGACGGATGATTCAACGGCAGCAAACAGTTTAATTACCGCACAGCAACTAGCAGAGCAGATTGGATCCTCAGAGAAATCTTCATCAGGATTAGAGACACGTTCACTGACGGTCGGCCTTTAGAGACACTGACCGTAGAGAAGCACCCAGATCCTGCAGGATGGAGTTCTGCCTGGTTTTGGAGTGTTCAGCTGAAGACCAAGATGCTAATGTCTCCGGGATGCTAACCTCTCTGGGATGCTAATGTTGGCAGGCTTCTCAGCTTCCTGGTACGGCTAGGTTTTCCATTCTGGAGCTTAATTGGGATCCAATTGGGCCCCATATCTGAAACTGGTTTGTGGTTTCTAAGCTCTGAAGTTAACACATCAAACTAAAACATTTTTGTCTTCCTCATTCTGTGAGGATATGATAGAGCTTTTCTGGATTTCTAGGTGCAGTCTTTATAGATTTTCCAGTTCTGACTTCTTTTGGGTCACTTCAAAATGTGCCTTTTCTGTCATTCAGTTCAGGCAAGTAATGGAGTAACACTCCATACCTGTAGGTGGCGGTAATGCACTAATTTTGTTGTTTGCCAACCGCCAAAAGAGGAGCTGCTATCCATTCTGGTGGAAACATTTTCTCTTTTTTAAGGTAATTAGATAAAACTAATTGTCTAATTAAGGTGCTGTATTGGTGCTAGCTAAAATTAGCTAGTCATCCATTAGCTAAAGTTATCTGGTCATCCATTAGCTAACATTAGTTGATCATCCGTTAGCTAACTTTAGCTAGTCATCCATTACGTAACGTTAGCTTGTCATCTGTTAGCTGACTTTAGCTGTTCATCCATAAGCTAACATTAGCTGTTCATCTGTCAGCTAACATTAGCTGGTCATCCGTTAGTTAATCTTAGCTGGTCATCTGTAAGCTAACATTAGCTGATCATCCGTTAGCTAACTTTAGCTAGTCATCCATTACTTAACGTTAGCTTGTCATCTGTTAGCTGACTTTAGCTGTTCATCCATAAGCTAACATTAGCTGTTCATCTGTAAGCTAACATTAGCTGGTCATCGTTAGCTGACTTTAGCTGTTCATCCGTTAGCTAACTTTAGCTGTTCATCTGTCAGCTAACATTAGCTGGTCATCCGTTAGCTGACTTTAGATGTTCATCTGTTCGCTAACATTAGCTGTTCATCTGTTAGCTAATGTTAGCTGGTCATCTGTAAGCTAACATTATCTGGTCATCGTTAGCTAACTTTAGCTGTTCATCCATTAGCTAACATTAGCTGCATCTAGCAGCTTTACCCAACTCATTTGGTTAGTTTGGGGAAAAACAGAAAAGTTCTTTGCATTCTGCTGGTTTGCTGCCATGATTGTGACACACCTGAGCAGCACTGCACAGCAGCAGGTAAATGAAGCATAAGCGTCTTAGCGCTCATGTTGCGTTTAAAAGCGGTTCGGAAAAATGAGTTACAACAACAGATTAAACAGTTTTAGCTGCTAAAAAGAGGGCACAGATATGGGAAGTGCGGAAGCCGCTACTGTATCAACTGATATCGGAATAGCAGAGTTGGCCACTTATGGTGAAACAAGCGCAGGGGGACGGCTGACTGCAGCGGGACTTTCTAGAACCCCTACACTCCCATCTTTTCACCAAGTCTTTTTTGTGCTCTGCTATCAGCCAGCTTGCAACCTATTATATCAGCAATGAAAAAACATTAATTTTACACAATGTGTAGGAACCCATATTTGGTGACTGACTTATTTGTCAGGTTTTCGTGACAAAAGTAGGAAAAAGACATATTCTCTGTCCAGTTACAAAAACAAGCATGTAAGAAGACCTCATTTACTTTTTAAAAAATTTTCCTAGCTGCCTATTAAACTGAAAGTTCTAATCTTGACATGATTATACAAGTTGCTTCACAGAGAAATCACTGAGGTGCTGTGAAAACGGTCGGACCGCCTCTCTGACTGCAGTGCTCGCTCCCGACACAAGGGGCAGAATTTCACACAAGACTGGAGAGGCATTGATTGCATCATCTCTGCATCTTGACCTGCTGATTCCCATTTTGGTCAATATTTACTTTTGTCTTAATACAAAAGAAACGGTGGAGAGACATCTTACTGCAGACCTGATCAGTGGGCGGGGCCTGATCAGTGGGCGGGGCCTGATCGGTGGGGGGGAGCTGATCAGTGGGCGGGGCCTGATCGGTGGGGGTGGTGATCAGTGGGCGGGGCCTGATCGGTGGGGTGGTGATCAGTGGGCGGGGCCTGATCGGTGGGCGGGGCCTGATCGTGGGCGGGACCTGATCGGTGGGGGTGGTGATCAGTGGGCGGGGCCTGATCGGTGGGAGGGGCCTGATCGGTGGGCGGGCATAACAGAGCTTGCATTTCTGGCTGATTTTTAGGTCTTTGCTGATGAAAATTAACTGGGCTACACATGTGAGTATCGGCCAATCTGCCAGCATGAAGGAAATGGGTGCAGCTCTAGTTTGGACCTGTGGTTCCGGGTCGACCCGCTCTAGGCGTCTGTTAATGAGGGAGCGAAGTGGAGCCACCGCTCTTCCTCTCTGAGAGAAGGTATGCTGGACACAGCTGCTGTCAGCTCACCTTTCATCACCTCTTATTGATCGTTCCACCTGTTGTTGCTCTGCTATTGATCAGCTGACAGGAAGGTCAAACTGTCGCCAGCCGCCGTTAAAAACCTCATGTTTGGATTCCTTGTTTTCACTCGGACTGATTTAAATAGGAGCAGAATGTGGAGGATCTGAGTGAATGCAGCCTCAGGTTGGTTCAGTCGGACAAATAAAATAATCTGCAAACATTTCTTTCCCCATTTCTCAGGTTTTCTCCATCGAATGACATTTAGTTTTTAACTGTTTGGTGTTTAAATGTGACGACGGAGCAGAAAGAATCCTGCAGGATCAGACCCTAAAGAACCAACTAACCTGGAAACACTGACCTCATCAGAGAGGTCAGATGCTGTGACCTTCTAGTGTGCCTTAGCTTGCCTTAGCCTGTCGGTAACATGTTGTTAGCATGTCGTTAGCTTGTCACAGCGTGTTGTGAGGGTGTCATTAGCATTTGGACCCACTAACCTTCCAACAGGAAGTGAAGTTTGTCACATTCTAACTTTTTAATGATGTTTGGCGTCTTAAAGGAATCTCCGCCTAATGAGCTGATTAGGCTGACGGTCGGCAGAAGAAAGCACAAGTCCTGCTCATTTCAGCGAGTTATCGAAGCCAGCTGGTCTCCGTCCCAGAGGTCAGGAAACCGCAGCTGAACTGGAGAGCTGAAACCAGTCAGGAGCTGAAACTGGTTTCCAGACTAACATCAGAAAGCTCATCTAATTTCAGGAAAATGCTTGATTCCAGATTATGATTGTGGTCTGGCAGTTTTCCTGTTGACCCATGATCTCAGTCGATGCTTCAGCCTCAAAGACAAAAGCAGACATTAGTGCAGCAGGAAACGTTTGACGGCTTCGTGTGTCAGATGAATTCAGAAACATCAGACAGTCAGATCCACAGGAAGCTGCACCGATGACAGGAAGTGACTCGACAGGCCCTGAAGTTTCTAGTCAAGATTTATTACATTTATATTCAAGTACATTTTACATTTCTACAGCTAGAAGCTCTGAAAAAAATCCTACTAAAGTCCATAAAAGAGATTAATCAATCAAATGTTATTTGTATAGCACATTTCAGCAGCAAGGCATTTCAAAGTGCTTTACATCATAAACACAAAAACACAAAGTCATGCATCATATAATAAACAATACATTGTTACATATTACGTCTCAAAAACAATTCTAAACAGGTGTGTTTTTACTTGAGATTTAAAGGAAGTCAGGGTTTCTGCTGGTTTACAGTTTTCTGGAAGTTTGTTCCAGATGTTTGGTGCATAGATGCTGAAAGCTGCTTCTCCTCTCTTGGTTCTGGTTCTGGATGCAGAGCAGAACCAGAACCAGAACCTGAGAGTCTGGAAGGTTGATACAACAACAGCAGATCTTTAATGTATTGTGGTGCTAAACCGTTCAGTGATTTATAAACTACCAACAGTATTTTAAAATCTATTCTTTGAGCTACAGGGAGCCAGTGGAGGGACTTTAAAACTGCTGTTATGTCTCTATCTTCCTGGTTTTAGTGAGAACAGGAGCAGCAGCTTCTGGATCAGCTGCAGCTGGAGGATTGATTTGTTGGACAGGCCTGTGAAGACGCTGTTACAATAATCAATGCGACTAAAGATAAATACATGAATGAGTTTCTCTAGATCTGGCTGAGACATTAGTCCTCTAATCCTAGAGATGTTCTTCAGGTGATAGAAGGCCGACTTTGTTACTGTCTTTATGTGGCTCGCAAGGTTCAGGTCAAAGGTCAGAGGTCATCACTACTTCCAGGTTTCGGGCTGATCTCTAGTTTTTAGTTGTAATAACTGAAGCTGTGCATTGACTCTAGATCTATAGCTCTAGATCTATAACTCTAGATCTATAGCTCTAGATCTATAGCTCTAGATCGTTCCTCTTTAGGTCCAAAAATAATGACTTCAGTTTTGTTTCTGTTCAGCTGGAGAAAGTTTTGGCACATCCACACATTTATCTGTTCTAAACATTTATTGGATGGGGTCAAAGGTCACCTGGTGACGTCATAATGTAGAGCTGTGTGTCATACGCATAGTTATGGTTGTTAATATTATTTCCTGTTATAACCTGAGCTAGTGGGAGAATATAAATATTAAATAAGAGGGGTCCTAAGATTGAACCTTGGGGTACCCCACATGTGACCTTTGACCTCTTTGATGAGAAGTTTCCAATTGAATTTT